AACAAAATATTACAAAAATTTTCCTGTTAAATCAGAAAATCATTTAATCTGCTTTTTCTCTTCTCTCTGAATATATTTTAAAAATGTTTCAATCTACATGAAAGAACCCTTTGTTTATAGATCCAATATGCACTTCTCATTGTTAAAAGTGTATTTTTATTTAGGAAAAAAGGGACTGAGGAGATCTAGTTGAGTTACAGCCATAGCATTATTTGTAGTAGCAATAGCAATAGCACTTAAATTTATATACCGCTTTACAGCCCTCTCTAAGTGGTTTACAGAGTCAGCATATTTCCCCCAACAATCTGGGTCCTCATTTTACTGACCTCGGAAGGATGGAAGGCTGAGTCAACCTTGAGCCTGGTGAGATTCGATCTGCCAAATTGCAGGCAGACGGTGATCAGCAGAAATAGCCTGCAGTACTGTACTCTTAACCACTGCGCCATCGCGGCTCTAGATACCTAGCTAGATACCACACCACTAGATAGCTAAAATATTTTTAATCTGGTAGCTACAAAGTATGAGGGTGGAGGCTGTTTAGGAAAGAAATTATGTAAAAAATGTGTAAGTACACGAAACTGTGCAAAATGCACAGATTTGTTTGCAGCTTTAGCAAAATAGCAAATAAAATTGCATATATTTGGAGAAAAATGCCCCAAATGCTAGAATTAAACTTTGTTTCAAATCTAAAATTGCTAAATGGGATGGGATGCCTGATGGTACAAATGAGAAAATAAAGAATTTGGATAACTGATGCAGACATGACTTACAGAAATGAGAAACTGAAATAAATAAATGATTGGTTCTCCCATTATTTGTCTCACATGGAACAAACTTTAATAGAAGAGCATTAGAAAATGGAGAACAATTTTAAAAAGCCAGAGGACTAAGGGATGTAACTGACAGTATATTATCTAACATACACAATCTGTGCCATTTTAAGCTTTACAGTAGATTTCATACAGTATCTCTGTAACTTATAATTGGAAAGAGGTTGTCCTTGACTTACGACCACAACTGAGCCCCAAGGCAGTTGATAAGTGAGTTGTTCCCCATTTTGCAACTTTTTTTGCCATGGTTGCTAAGAGAATCACTATAGTTGTTAGGTGAATTGTTAAGCAAACTTGGCTTCCTCAATTGACTTTGCCTGTCAGAAGCTCCCTAAAAAGATTACAAATGACAATTCTAGGACCCCGGGATGCTGCGACCATCATAAATACATGCAGGTTGTAGGCACCCAAAGTTTGATCATGTGACTCTGAGGATGCTTCAACAGTCATAGGTGTGGGAACAGGTCATAGGTCACCTTTTTTCAGTGTCATATAATTTCTATGTAATTCGGAATAAATACCTAATAATTTCCTTCAATATCTATGTATGATCAGCACGGCTGTCAGGCGTAATTATCATTTTTAATCGCACTGTTAGCTGAATTTATGCATGGTCCAAAGTCATAAGTAAAGCTTGGCAATTGAACCAAGCCAGGCCACTTGTACCCAGGATTTAGGAGTCAAGATTTTCAAAGCAATGCCCAAATGATGCCATTTGTAAGCAGAAAACCAGCAGCTATTGGCCCTTTTGACATATCCCTTTAAAGAATTTCTATCAGAGAAAGGGAGTGCTTTGTCTGCAGTCAGAATAAACTCATTGTACACCCAGACAATTAACACTTCAAGTGACTTGCCAGCCTCTTTAAAGCCGCTATGCTACTTCTCTGTTTTGAGCTCTATTCAGACACTTAAGCACACCATTTTTGTTTTGTTTATTATTCAAAAGAAGAAGAAGAAGAAGAAAGTCCTTCATCAGAATAGTTGGAGCGGATCAACATTGTCCTTCCAATGGCATTTATCTCCAGCCAGCAGTGAATATGTCAATCAGAAATCAAAAAGCTAAACAGAAGAGGCTTTGAATTGTGTCATCAGGGGTCGAAGGGACTTCCAGCTGCCTGTGCATGGGACAGCCTTTCTTACACACCAAAGAATTGTGCTGTCTGTTGCTAACACACACTCATCATGCTGAATTACAAAGCCTTTGAAGCATGAAGAATATTCCCAGTTCACTTCGTTCATATCAGTGCACCTGCAAGGGAGCTCTGAGGACGGTGAGGGAAAGGGAGGGTGGGCTAATGTATTCTAGAAATACTTTCTGGCTTGGTTGATGGTTCTTACACCATGTTGCCTTAATTTTCACTGACAGTGTTTGTAAGAAGCAGATACAATTTATTTCAGAAGTTGGATGTCATGTTCATCATGTTTTGATTGATAATTATGCTCTGCATCCAGGGGTGAAATCTACTTACCTTCCCAACCGGTTCAGAACCGGTTCTGCGCATGTGCAGAGGGTAAAAAACAGGTCACTTCCTGGTTAAAACCAGGAAGTGATGACCAGGTGGGTGGGCAGAGCCTCGTGCCGCCATCGCTACCGGTTCTCTGAATCACCAGCCGCCATCGCTACCGGTTCGAACTGGTCTGAACCGGGATCATTTCACCCCTGTCTGCATCCCAATTGAATCTCTTACGGGTCAAAATAACAAACAGGTTTGCAATCTTTTTTGGCCTCTGGGCATAATTAGAGTTTTGAAAAAAAAGTTCTGGCCATTTTCATAAAGTGGCTAATATGAAGGGATGTTGTTAGTGTCGTCTTGTGAACATATTTTCATGCTCCATGTAGTTGGTTCTTTTTTCTTCTCCTTTTCTAAGGCTTAAATCACAACTTCATCCAATTTCATAGCTGCAGGGGTTCCCCAATATTTATTTCAACCTATCACGGGATCTTGTGTCTGACATAAATCCTCAGCATTTAACAGTGGCTGCTTCCTTTCTCCTATTCAGGAGGAGATTGAATAGAAGGGAGGTAGGATTGGGGCAGACAGCTGTGGCATCTATATTGAAAATTGCAGACCAACATCTTGTGATATCTCCTTATGTGAAGGCATTCCTTATTCACTGGCCTTCTAAATATCTTTCGTGCTATCTGTTCATCTTGCTGCTTTTTTATAACTTCTGATTCTTCCATAGAATAGTTACTTTTGCTTTTGAATGCTATATGTTTGTTTTTTCTGTTTCATAGTTTTCTGTTGTCTTGTTCTGGGCTCATTGCTAATTGTCATTTGGAGCATTGGCTTTAAGGAATATTCTCTACTAATAAAGGAGAATATTAGGTCAGGATTGAAATGAAGGGAATTCTTGGTGCTCCCTGAAGTTCATTATTTTCTTACAGAAGTTTCATTAGCCAAACTAAGTGACATCAACATGTTAGCCTAGCACTGATGATGTTATATAATTTGAGTAATGGAATGTTTACAAGAAAACAGTCAAGCTCGGAGAGCACTAAGGAGCTCTTCCTTCTCTACTTTTTCTGGGAAATCCCAATTCATGGTCCTGAGTATCAACAAGGAGGGGAAAAAAACTATGTGTTGCACACATATATGAATGTGACAACACACGTATGTTGTAATAAAAGTGATAATTCAGTTATGAAAACTCTACAAAATAAAATAGGTTTTTACAGTATAAATCTTAACCCATCCTGATTTAATCATGCAATACTATAACTTATAACCTTGTACATTTTTATCACCTTTTCTGTGTATTTTTTTAAAAAAATATTATTAGTTATATAACTCTTCCCTTCTCCCAGCTCTTGGTATTTCTTTGTGGGTAATTGTGTGCACTGAATCTGTAAAATTCAACATTACATACTATCAATCAAAAACTGAGGAAAATTCTGTCTTGCATATTATTCTGCAAGTATTGCAAGTATTCTGTTATGGTTTTGTATAGAGGTTTCTATATTTAAGGTTTTAATATGTGTACAGGCATTTATTTATTTGCTTGTAACAAATATCCCAAAATGCCAGTTCAGATGGATGGATGGATGGAAGGAAGGATCTATTCAGCCATTCAGCCATATTCTTACATAATAAAATAAATAGGTATTTCAATGCCTGGGAAGGGGATTGTATCTCTTCCATGTTTAATGAAGTACATGCAATGGAACACTACAATGACAATATTGCACTGCTGATATATCTGTAAAAGGGAGACCTCACAGTCTAGACCCAGTGTTTAAAGTAAGACAAGAAGCTAATATGGCTTTATTTCTAGGCATCTGTGGACAGAAACCGAAGATTAATGTAAGCAATTCCTTCATTCTGTAGTGAATTTTAATATAATTTAAATGTTGTTTGATATAGGCTAGAATTACAAACATTTCTGAACAAAGAAAGAACAACACTATTTGTTTTATTTATTTGTTTATTTTTCCTATTTCTTAATCACCCATCTCCCTCAGAGAGGGACTCTGGATGGTGTACAATATGTTTTAGATACTCTTCTGTTATAATTACATTAGCATCAAATCATTTACATTGTAAACTTTAGAAATAATATGGTCATTTTTTTTCTGAAAAATTGATTCTAAATTTGATGCTGACAAGGTTAAAAAATTAAGACCCTTCAAACAAAAGTAATAAAAAATACTTGTAAGAGCTGGAATTTTGCAGTCAAATAATTTGTTCCAATTCTCCTGTCTATTAGTTATCAGGATAGGAAAGCCTCCATAAATCCAGCGTTTTGGTGCAGTGAGTTTGTCAATGGACTGTGTCCCTGCATCTCCCAGAAACTTTGAGGAGACTATTTGTTTTGAGCTCACTATATCCACAAAATCATGTAACAACCTATAGGAAGAGCTAAATTATGTGAGATAAACTTAGTGCACCCGCATGATTTTCATACTTCAGCAATACAGAAGTTATTGTTGATAAAAGTATAAGTGGGAATATTATCTACTTTAAAAATAGAATTAAAGAAATATTTCAGTATTTTGCTAATCTTTTAACCAGTTCCATAAAGTACTTTGCTTTTATATTCTGATTTGTACTTTTTTTCTGTCTCTGTGTATGTCTGATTTTCTTCTGATGGACTTGGCCGGGCCATGTAAAAATCCCAAATTATTCAACAGTACTGGAGAGTAGATAGTATTTACCTCAATAATGGTAGTTTCTTTTCAATTTTTTTTAACTCTCAATTCAGATGATGGTTCAAAACCAACACCCACCATGGAAACACAACCAATTTTGGATGGAGAAGGTAAGAGCCTTTGAAGTAGCTTTTTTTTTTATTTATGCAGTCCCCAAAATGGTAATGTTCTGTAAAGAAAATGTCAAGTATGATTATGTATTATTCAAAGCACAAATTTTGCTTTTAGATAAATTGCTTTTTATGCACATTATTTCTTTGTGGATTGGTTGAAATCATAGTGAGATGATTTTGTGACATGACCGCAAAAGAAAATTAATATTGTGCTACATACTGTAGTTCCTGTACAATTTACCTGGTATATACTATATATTTGGGGATATATCATAAGCCAGGAATAAGTAGATTTATCAGATTAAAATGCTGTACAGTACTAGTATTTCTTCAAGGAGTGTTATTATGTCTGTATATAAGTAGTTACCAAAAGTTATTTCCTAATTCTTCAGAAATTCTCAAGGTTGCCCACTACATACATGAAATGGCAGGTTTGCATTTGAAAATGGGACATTTTGGGAAAATTTGCACACAAACATATGAAAATAAAATGTTTTTTACTCTCTGATTGTCTTATCTACCTCCCTCCTTATCTCCCTCCCTCCCTATACACCTACCTACATATATTGGTATTTTGTTTAATATGCTTTTAATGTGCTTATTAAATTATCTTTATTATGATTATCTCCTGGGTCTCATGGTACTTTTAATATAAACCATGACCTAATTTTTTAAACAAATTATAAGCCTATCCTTATGTTTCAGAAATTACAGCCCCTACACTTTGGATTAAACACTTGGTCATCAAAGATTCCAAACTGAACAGCTCTAGTATGAAAAATTCAGGTAAATGCTTTTTTCTTTTTTTAAAAAAAGAGATTTAAACTTAAAGGGACAGGGTATATATATTTCTTCATTTGGGTACAAATGATGAACACATAATTGCTAAATAAATACAATGTTATTGAAATTTGAAACAGAAAAAAAAGTTAAAAAGTTAAAAAAACTATAAAATGGGCTAAAAATTTTGGCAGCGATGTTATCCATATGCAAATGGATGGAGAGATATGGCATTACCCACAATGGAGGAGTGATTGGTGAAGATGATGGAATTTGCAGAGATGACTAAATTGACTTTTTTTAATCAGAGAAAAAACAATTATCTAAATTTATTGCTGACTAAAAATCCCCTTATAGACATTTTGTGTGAAGCAGAAAAAAATGAACATGTTAATATTATACATTATAGGATAGATTACAGAAAGAAGAGAGTTATATAAATTTATAATTGTAGCTATAACTGCTATAAAGAAAATTGGAAGAATTTCTTTGTATCTCTTTTTTTTCTTTTCTATTTTTGTTTTACTTCCCCCCTTTTTTCACATTTAGCTTTCTCTTCTATTTTTTTTTCTTACTGCATATTAGCTTATATTAGTTTTTACCTTCTTTTTTGAAAATTGGATTTAAACAGTCAAACAATATATAACAAATTGTATGTGATGATGGTCATTGAAGTATCTTTTCAGTGTAGGTCTGGCACTCATGTTTAGTGTGAGTCATTTTTGAGCATCATATCATCTGGATAGTCAATATTTATTATGAAAGGAAGCTTCTGCTACCTCTGGCGTAAGAACTTCAATTTCTTGTTTCTGGTTGGATTTTATCATGCTTTCCATTTTAAGGAATGTAGTTAGTTTATTAGTATAAGTTCTGTTTTCTAAACTTGTTTGCTTCTTGCTACCCTGACATTGGAATTGTACCTTCAAAGATAGACTTATTTTGCTGCATTTTAATGAACTGAAATAAATTTTAGTTGTACAATAATGTGTTCTTAAGAGTGTTCTTAAAAGGATATTTCTTATAGAATGAAGTATTAAATTATTTCCATTTGTAAATCCCTACATCCTTGCTTGGAAGGGCATTCCAGAATCCAGTAGTGTGTGTGTGTGTGTGTGTGTGTGTGTATTTAATGTTCTCATTTGTGGATATAGAGCTACATTGGCTAGTAATCAGTGGAAGTCATATCTGTCATAGATGGAGATAGTAATTACTTGTGACTTGTAGTGCAAGGATGAATAACAGATACCTGATCATTTACAGATTATTATTCCTTCCCCTGGTACTGTTTTAGCTCTCCTAGAATATATTATTTGGATTATATAATGACTTCTTCTGTAAAAGCCTTGGACTTTTTCCTTATTTTCTTTTATTGTGAAATTATTTGGGTTTGGTTAAAGACAGATTTCAACCATGTAGTCATTCTACACTCTTAACCTTTAAAGAAAACCACAGAATGATGTAATGATGAGACAAATGGAAATATAAACTGGTCTATGAAAGCCAGCAGTAGCAGTCAGGTAAATATGTTACAGTTGCTAATGATTTGTACATTACGTTATTTGAAAGGAAGACTGAGTAATCTATTAAGGTTAGAAGCTGGATATGGATAAAAAAAATAACCTCAGCCTTGGCATTGATTTCTAAAACTCTGCTATTTGATCGTGTTCTGCTCTGGCATTCAAAAATCATTTGGATACCTTTTGTAAACTAAAAACATAAATTGACAGAAATGTTTTTATCATGTGAACTAAGCATGCAAAATTCAAGAATTAATAATAATAATAAATGCTGAAGTTAAAAAGAAGGTTAGACATGAATACATCATTTGACTAAACAAGATCTTAACAGTCCAAACTCAAGGCAATTAATACCTGGGTAATTGCAGTAATTAGATACACAGCTGGAAGAGTGGACTAGACTCAAGCAGAACTAAAAGCCCTGGATAGGAAGACCTGAAAAATAATGACAGTGAATCATGGCTTCTTACCAAGGAAAATATGGGTGTGGAATGTTGCAAATACACCAGACAGTTGAAGAAGAAAAAGGACATTGGAGGAATATCTGAAGAACAGTAAAGAAGATGCACTGAAGTTAGTATACCAGGAAGACTTACTGAGTACTGGAGAGATCAAATTGGCCTTCAAGAATACCAAATGAAGAATAGAAAATAGACATGGGAAGGCAAAACATGACATGGCCAGTATATTAAAAAAATAATAATGGACAAAGCAGATATAACAAGATCTGTCAATGGCTAAAAAACGGAAAATTGAAAAAAAAAAAAAAGAGGAGCTGATGTTAGCTGAACAAGTGACCAAGCCTTAAGAACAAGTGGATACAAAACCAGAATTCAGAAGATAGCTATAGATAGCAAATACTACCTCTGCAAAGAAAATCAATGGACAACCTTATTAGCTGTTGCAAGAAGATTGCACACAGACTGACTACAAACAATGAATGGTATGACAAAGTAGCAACAATGGTGCACTGGAAGATTCAGCACAAAATATCATTTGCCTGCAAGCAAGAACTGGTGGGACAATAAAATAGAGAAAGTCATAGAAAATGAAGAAACTAAAATGCTCTGAGATTGTAGAACTCTAATCAAATTATATTTGAATGAAAGACTTTGTATTTCTGGTGTAAAAATAATTACCATATGTATTTTACTGAAATAATTGCAGTATACAGTAATTTGAATTGATTTCGGTTCCAAAATACATGGAAGATTTTGGAGCAAATACTGGCATTTATATGGGCAGTGATAGAAAAACAACTTATGACCCACCCTTCAACAGTGTTAGGCTTCCAGATGCAACTTAAAATGCTGTGGCTAATCCATAAAACCTTTTATGGCTTGGTACCAAGTTGCCTACAGGATTGAATTTTTCCATGGGAATTGGCCTAGGAGATTTGATTTAGGAAAAGAGGAATGGATTTCAGAGGCTCTACTACTCAGGGATAACGCCTATCTGGGAATGGCCTCCTTGTAGATATGGGTTGGCTTCTACTTTGCACTCTGGAAGTAACTCACAATGGAACTCTTTTGGATAACATTTGGGCTGTGAGGTCAACTTAGTTAAGTTTATGGATTGGTGGCTTCTTTTATTGTTTACAAAGTTTTGTATTTTATATTGCATCCTTACTCGGATTGTATACTTTTATGGTGCACCTCTGAATCTCTGAGATTTCTTTGAGATTGGACTGGGGTTTAAATAAATGACATATGCATACATATAACCTGAGCAGGGTGTATGTACCATTGCATGGTTATATGCTGAGATGATTAGTATTTTACGTCAAATATGATGTCAAAACTTTTTACTGAGAAACCCTGTAATTTTGAATGCATCTTAAATTCTTAAATATCAAAGGCTTTGGTATTTTTACAAACTTCTCATGTAGATTAGGAATAAAGTTTATATTACCAAGCATACTATGTACTACATTAGAGTTACCTTTTAAAGTTTCTAGGCCTTGTAGCTTGTCTCTCTAAAAACAATATAGAGAATTGAATGCATGTAGTCTGAAGATCTATTCTTTGCTGAAGAAAAGTGATTTAGCTATGCACGATTATCATTTTAAACTACTACCAAGCAATTTTTAGCTGATTTTGGCTGTTTTCAGATGTTAAGCAGGGTTACCCTGACTTGTATAGGTATTCCTCAACTTACAACAGTTCACTTAGTGACTATTCAAAGTTACAATGGCACTGAAAAAGTGACTTAGGACCATTTTCAAACTTATGTCCGTTGCAACATCCCCTTGATCACATGATCAGATCAGGGGTGAAATGCTTCTGGTTCGGACTGAATCGCCCGATCCGGTAGCGATGGCAGCAGGTGGTTTGGAGAACTGGTAGCAAAAATCACTGCCCCCCCTCCACCACGCCCAGCTGAGCTGCATGATCATCAGAGGCTTTTTTTTTTTTACTTTTAAAAGCATTTTTTCTACAACCTCTTCCGACGAAAAAATGCTTTTAAAAGTAAAAAAAAAAAAAAGCCTCTGATGATCATACGGCTCACCTGGGATCGTCAGAGGCTTTTCAAAGCATTTTTTTCTGCAACCTCTTGGCCAAAGAGGTGGTAAAAAAATGCTTTGAAAAGTCTCTGACGATCCCAGCTGAGTTGCCTAATCGGCAGAGGCTTTTCAAAGCATTAGAAAAAATGCTTTGAAAAGTTAAAAAAAAAAAAGTTCACCACACCCACCCAGTCACATTACCCCCCCAAGCCACGCCCACAGAACCGGTAGTAACAAATGTTACATTTCACCGCTGGATCAGATGCTTGGCAACTGGTTCATATTTATGATGGTTGCAGAGCCCCAGGGTAATGTGATCGGCTTTTACAACCTTCTGATAAGCAAAGTTAACGGGAAGCCAGATTCACTTAACAGCCATGTTACTAACTTAACAACTTCAATGAATCACTTGGCACAAAAGGTTATAAAATGGGGCGAAATTCACTTAACAAATGTCTTGTTTAGCAATGTTAAATTTTGGGCTCAAATTCCAAGGTAGTGAACAGATTTAGAAGTGTAACATTGCCAAAAGCTGCACGGATGCAGTCATCAAGTATCAGACTTAAGCCAAGGAGCTTTTATCTTTAGCCCTTGAAAATGTGTGGAAATTTCGAAGAGTTTGAAGAAGCTGCTAAAAGTGCTGAATGTGGAGGTTTATTTAAAATGTATAATGCTTAAATAATAATGCTTTTATTGCTTTCCAATTAGTTTCCAAGTCCAATTTAAGGTCTGTTGCAACTATTCAAAGCACTAACACTGTGGAGGTTGAGAAACTTACTTGAAATAGAATTTGGAGTGTAACTGAAGCAGCTTTTATTCTAGAAACAAAATACAAGACAAATCCTGACATCAGTGCTTTTATTTGAGTTGCTGTGACCTGTGTCCTTTCTGCCAGACAGAACAAGTCTTTTTTCTAATAGCCGAACATCTGCATTTGCTTCCTCCTTTTCTGTGTCCATCATTCAGTTATCCGTAGAATAACATGTCATTTATTTCTCAAGAAGAAAAACACAAGTTAGAAATATCAGGATTTGATTTTGCTTGACCTCAGCACTCAAATTCTTCCAAAGAAATCTGACCACCTAGGGCTAGGCACTCCAGTAGATTAAATTGCTGGAAGTGTAGACTCTAAATCAAGATAAATGTCATTTATTTGCCCCTATAAATATGTTATAGCTAACCGCTGAGAGTTGTAAATCATCCCAAAGTGGCCCAAGAACCACTTGGAAAAGTTTTACAGGGTGCACTGAAGTTGCAGTGGCAATGGAAAAGAAAAGAAATATTATTTTCTCTGTCTTCATCATTGCTATAAAATAGACTTTACCATGAATGCTTACCAGCAGAGTTCAATCAGATTTTATCAGTGTTTGAGCAGATTTTGTCAATTGTTCTTCCATCTGTATTTTATTTCCCCCCCCAACTTGCTTCATTACTTTATTTTATAAAAATATAAAATTCACTTCAACTTTATATCTGCCTATATCTAAATGATGGTCCTGTATTCACACATGTTCACACTTCCTTTCCACAAACAATGCATTCAGGATTCATATATCTAGAATTTCTTTTTAGTTCCAGTAGTGGATTTTCCATTTTCTTTTTCTCCATCTTCTTCTTATCAAAACAACTTGCTTCATTACTTTATTTTATAAAAATATAAAATTCACTTCAACTTTATATCTGCCTATATCTAAATGATGGTCCTGTATTCACACATGTTCACACTTCCTTTCCACAAACAATGCATTCAGGATTCATATATCTAGAATTTCTTTTTAGTTCCAGTAGTGGATTTTCCATTTTCTTTTTCTCCATCTTCTTCTTATCAAAACAAATGAATAGAAACCCAAGCAAATGATTGAAGGGTTACTCAACCTGCTTTCTCTCTATTTGACTAAGTGAACAGCAGGGCTTCCTTTGACAAAAAGATGCAAGTTGCAATCAAGCTATTGAACAAGCTATAGGCCTGGTTCTGTAAGGCTAAACCAGTCTAACTGCATCATGATTTACGATAATGTGATATATGAACCAGGTGGGGGTTTGTTTGTTTTGCTTTCTTTTTGAGGTGGGAGGCTGCTTAAGGTGGAAGCTTCCTGTAAAACTTCCTGAATAGCTATTAATTCATGATTTCTTTTTCAGAGAAAATTAATTCTTGTGATCAAGAAAGGCAGAGTGCACTTGAGGAAGCCAAGCAGAATCCACGTGAAGGAATTGTTATCCCTGAATGTGCCCCTGGAGGACTGTACAAACCGGTGCAGTGTCATCAGTCCACCGGCTACTGCTGGTGTGTTCTGGTAGACACTGGTCGACCCCTACCTGGCACTTCTACCCGGTAAGAACAATTTGCTTCCAATTTCACCTTTATATGAAATCAATTGTAGCATAGAGGTGGAATGGGGTTGAAGGAAGCAGGATTTAGATAAAGAGGATTTAGATCAGGGATGGATAACCTTTGTCAACCTACAGTATGATGAAATGTAGCGTCCCTCTATAACAGGGGTGTTAAACTCAAGGCCCGGGGGCCTGATCCGGCCCACAAGGTGTTTAGATCTGGCCCAGTGGGCTGCCCTGAAAACGGCAAAGGATCGGCCCGCAGTGTTTTTGCCAGTGAAAATGGAGCTTGAGAGGGCAGTGTGTGAACCTTCCGAGCTCTGTATTCTCTGGCAGAGGGTTGCAGGAGGCCATTGCAGCCGAAAACGGAGCTCAGGAGCATGTTTTCTCTGGCAGAGCGTTCGGGCCACCACAATCACCCCAACACAAGTAATGTCAAGCTGGCCATGCCCCCCCCAAGATCAAACACAATCCTGATGCAGCCCTCAATGAAATCGAGTTTGACACCCCTGCTCTATAAGTATGAAAAAGATAAAATTTTCATTTGTTTGCGTCTGAAATGCATGTATCAATGCTTCATGTCATTAGTGATTAAACTGGAGAAAAAATTTGCTACCTTAAAAATTATAATTACTTTGTTTAATTCCATCCAGGAATTGTCAATCTACAGTATAAAATTCATTAATGATTGATTATATTTTATTAAACTTACGACTTTCTTTAAATTTCCTATTAATTGGGGAAACAAATATTAGATTGCAGCCCTATGCAATTCTTTTGAGTTTAGATGATCCAAACATGCAAATAACTAATTAATGCATGGAGTTGGACTTTTATTTATTTTCCTGGGGTCTTTTGTTGGAATACCCTGGCCCATATTTACTGTGTCCTAGTAAAAGAATCCTTTTAGAATAGAATAACCGAGTTGGAAGATACCTTGGAGGTCATCTAGTCCAACCGCCTGCTCAAGCAGGAGACCCTATACCATTTCTGACAGATGGCAGTCTAGTCTCTTCTTGAAAGCCTCCAGTGATGAAGCACCCACAACTTTTGAAGGCAAGCTGTTCTATTGGTTGATTGCTCTCACTGTCAGAAAATTTCTCCTTATTTATAGGTTGAATCTCTCCTTGATCAATTTATCTGTCTCTACATTCTTTTTGTGACTTTCAGAGGCTTGAGAGTAACAGTAACAGTAAGATTTGTTTAATAGAGCGAGATCTTAGTGTTTTAATGTTGTAGTACCAGTAGTCCTCTCTTACCAACCAATTATTCAGTGATCATTCTAAGTTGCAGTAGCTGAATGACTGGCACTTATGCATGGTCACAAGATTGTTATTCAGACACTTGTCAACTAGCTCACACGACAGTTGCAGTGCCCCACAGTGATTTCTATTTCCAACTTCCTATCCTGGCTTCCAGCAAGCAAAGTCAATAGAGAAACTGGCAGGGAAAGTCACAAATGGCTCAGTAAAACTCCCTGACCTTCCTGTCCTTGTACAGTAGGGCACGCGGCTTTCCATGACCTCCCTGCACTCGGCCTGTGTCGGGCCTGCCTATTGTTAAACTCGGCTAAAGTTTAGTGGAAGAGGTACTTTTTGATATGCATTTTATTGAGCGACAGTGGAGTTAAATGAACTAACTTGAACATTTGATATTCTGAGATTACAGGGGAAAAAAGCCCCTCTCCCATGTGCTGAATATTTTATTTTATTTATTTATTTATTTATTTATTTGATTTGATTTCTATACCGCCCTACTCCCAAAGGACTCAGGGCAGTGCACAGCCAAACAATAAAACACATACATACAAAATTTAAAAGTAGAATAAAATCAAATTAAATAATTTTGGCCCCGACAAATTTAAAACCCCAAACTTTTAAAACCAATTTAGAATTGAATGTATAAAATACTAAAAGATATTTAAAAATTAAAAATCTTTTATAAAAGAGGGATAAAATTAGGCCAGGCCCACCTGGTGAAATAGTAAGGTCTTTAAAGCGTGGCGGAAGGTGCGCAGATCCGGCATCCTCCGTATCTCTGGGGGGAGCTCGTTCCAGATAGTAGGTGCCCCCTATTGTGCTAATCTTCAGAAGGATCTCTCCTGTTGATCTGGGTAGGTTCTTTGTGGGAGAGACGGTTCCTCCGATTAAGAATCTAAACTAGATTTAGAACCACCTTATATTGTGTTTGATAGGCAGCTGGTAGCCAGGGTATATATCTCATGTGGTTGTATGTGATTCCTGTGTCTTGTTGTGATCAGCAGCCTAGTTATTGCATTTTGTACCAATTGTAATTTCCAGCCCTTTGTGAGAAATATTCCCATATCAGTAGTGGATCACCATGCAACCGACTCAAGAAGAGTAGTGTCAAGATTGAACTGCTTTGCTTCTTTCAAACCTAATGCTTTTCAACTTGCCAATGAACTGGGGGGAGGGAGATGGAATGTGGAGAATATATGTGGAGATCGTGATAACAAGGTCATTGCTGCAGGCAATTGGGAAAGAGGTGGACTGTTCTCATAACAAAAGACCATCTCATATTTGGACAATGTGATCAACCAGGGGCTGGGGAGAATGAGAAAGTGTTGTTTAAGAGGGCAAGCATTTGCACGGGAAACAAGAGTTGGTTTCATTTCTTCAGTACCTACAAAGTGTATCCAATAAAGTTTTATTTTTTGGGTATTCAATTCTCCTGAGAGTGTTTTCTTGTTTTGGGTTCGTTAACTGGACAGTTGACAAGTAGCAGATGGCACTATCATGTTTCCCTGAAAATAAGACCCTTATTTTTTTTATTGTCTTATATTTTTTTTGAACCCTGAAATAAATACTTGGCCTTATTGCCATGTGCTCAAAAGCCCGATTGGGCTTATTATCAGGGGATGTCTTATTTTGGGGGAAACAGGGTAGTTGTAATTGTAATGTACTCCCCTCATCACTCCAACCCTTAGCAAATACAGTGACAGATAGGTTGAAAAAGTATCCAAACTGTGAAGTCCTTTTCCTGGGGAGGTACATCCTTATCCCAAATAGGCTTCCCTTCAATTTTCAGGCGTACTTATTAATAGGGCCTCCATCATATCTGAATTAAATTTCAACTTGTTCTCCCTCATCTGGGCCAATTTAGGAAATATCCAAATTCATCAGGCATTTGGAGCAGGCCACTTTCTCTGATACTCTATGTCTTTTGAGGTCTACAGCAACCAACAGTCTAAAACTGATCAGAAAAGGATCTCCATATGACAACAGTTACATCCATCCCTTTTGTTTCACAGGCTCCAGCTGAATGCCAAGTCCTTTGGGTGCTCTACTGCCTGTGTGAGGCAAGATATCAGTTGGAACAATGCCCATGGAATAAAATCGTGTGATATAGCATTGTTTTGAAAGGGATAATATAGAAAAAAAATTGAACTCTCTGGTCTGGTGTACCTTGTATTTCCACAGGGTTGGAGAATATGAAACTTATTGACACACATGCCTTAAGAATGTGCTGTTTTTTAAAACTATTTCCATTCTTTAGATATGAGACCCCTGTATGTGAAAGCGATGCTCGATCCAGAAGTCCAGAAATTGATGATCCTTTCAAAGACCGAGAACTTCCAGGTAAAAATGAAGGAGTAATAAGAGTGGTAAGGATGGGCAGGGTCCCATCCATTGGTTGGATATAATTAGCCAGTGGATTATAGAATTTTGTTTTGATGTTAAACCTTTTATTTATATAATCACTTCACATCATATAATGTCAGTAATGGTGACAACAATGCCATAAAATGTATGGGAAGAGGTAATTCCTTTCCCCACTAAAATTAATTTGGGCTTGAACAGTTTCTTTTGCTGTCCTATTTCTAGTTCTTTCCCCATCAATTTGGTTTGACTCATATTCAAGGAATCTTTGTACAAATGTTGAATTTAAAAATGTAGAAGGTATTCATTATGGTTGAATAACTGTTCAGGATTTTCTCTAGCATGTGCAGTTGCTAATTTACACTATTTCATTATTGGATTATGATCATAGTGGAATTGAAACATCCTGTTTTTCCTGCAATGTATAATTTAGTAACATGCTAATGACACTCCACATTTTTAACCTGTAGAAATTTCCAATATAGCTATATGTTCTTGCCACTAGAAGCTTCGTTGGGTGGACCCAGTGATGAAATCCAGTTTTTTTTTACTACCGGTTCTGTGGGCGTGGCTTGGTGGATGTGGTGTAGCTTGGTGGGCGTGACTTGGTGGGCATGGCAGGGGAAGGATCCTGTAAAATCTCCATTCTCACCCCACTCCAGGGGAAGGATACTGCAAAATCCCCTTCCTTCCCCACTCCTGGGGAAAGGATATTGCAAAATCTCCATTCCCATCCCACCCTGGGGCCAGCCAGAGGTGGCATTTGCCGGTTCTCCAAACTATTCAAAATTTCCGCTACTGGTTCTCTAGAATCTGTCAGAACCTGCTGGATTTCACCCCTGTGTGGACTCTATGATTACATTTTAATGAAAAATAAGGAGATATTTGCATTATGATTTAAAACAGCCTTCCCCAACCAGTCAGCCTACAGTTCTGTTGGGATTGTTACTATCCATGCTGTTTGAGACTTCTGGGCTTTTCCAAGACGTTAGCAAAAGTTAATTTAAAATATCTATAAAGACTAAAATCTGTAATCTCCAATGATCGTTTGTGATTGACTTTCAGTGTCCATGAAACCCCCCTTGGTGTTTTCTTTTGCTATTATTTCTTTTTATTCTTATTGACAGATTTAATGCATATTAATATGAAATATGCACAGTATGCATTTGTGCAATTATGTTATAATTCCACTGAACAACCAAGAGCAATTTTCTTAGAGAAATCAATCTTTGCCTCCTTATTGGGTATAGCTCCATGATATGTACATTTACTGTAGAAGAAGAAAATGTCTGCTGCTATCGAAGATCCAGTTGAGATTTCAACCTACTGAAAGTGTCTCATCAGAACTGCCTGAAACATAGCATGGCAACAGTATAGATATGGAAACCTGTTTTGTCTTCTGTTTTTTTAAAACTGAGTTGCTCTCCTTTCCAGGTTGCCCAGAAGGGAAAAAAGTAGAATTTATTACCAGTTTACTGGATGCTCTCACCACAGATATGGTACAGGCTATTAACTCAGCAGCACCTGCTGGAGGTGGAAGGTGAGTTTGGAAGCATTCAGGTGAAATAGAAATGGGACACCCAAAAACCTGTTTCTAGCCTGGACAATAACACAATTGCAAGAGGATGATACAAAGTAGAAACCTATGCGGTATATGCTGTTTTATGAAAAACAAAGAGGCTTCCTCGTATAAAGATAGTCCTTGACTTAAGATCACCATTGGGACTGAAATTTCCACTGTAAGTTGTGGTGAAAAATTGAATCATCACCTGATGGGACCGGATCTTTTTATGATTGAATCACCATGTTTGTAACTTGAGTCACATAGTTGGAAACTAACAAAAAAATAATAATCACAAATTGTGACCATCTGACTATGGGATACTGTTTGTAAATGTGAGCTGCTTGCCAAGAGTCCAAATTGTGATCGCATACAGTAAGACTGGGGGAAGGGCAATAGTCATAAATTTGAATTTAGGTCATAATTGACTTTTTGGGAGGTGGTCATTTATTTGAATCACTATTGAATAAATGATTGTAAGTTGAGGACTACCAAGTATCACTCCCCATTTTCATTATGAAAGAGATAAGCTCTTGCTTTTTGTGCTTGAGACACAAATAATTAATTATTAATTATTAATTATAATAATAATAATTGTACAAATAATTAAGATTTGTACAATTCATATATAAAATGGGTCTCTTCTCTAAAAAGGAGAACAAGTGAACCTTCTTCCATTTTACCTCAGTTTTTTCCTGCTAGGGTCATGGCTGCTACTGAAATCAAGCAAAAGTAATGCAGTACGAAGAGTTCAGGAAAAGGAAGATTTCCTCCCCCCTCCCCTCAGTTTTTGGTGGATTTATGCTCCTGAACCTGTATTTTATTCTTTTGACCTTTAATCTGAATCTCTGATAAGTCATTTAAAATATGGATGTACATGACTTATCTTGTGGGATTTTGGTTCTTCAGTAAAAAAAATCTGTTCTCAGTTGGCTAGTCAATACGAGCTGGTTTTCGCTTGCATAGATATATGCCATGCAGTTGCTTCCACATGCTTGAATTAACACTAAGATACCTTCACAAGTTCTTCACATTCATATAGGTTTTTATTTCCTCTCACTGACTTTATCACTCTTTGTTTGGTATTCACAATTCTAAATATTTATGTATAAGCTATGCTTTTCTTACATTTTTCATTTATGTCTATTAGTGTAGCATTAAAAGAGAAAGCTAGAAATGTGAGAAAACAGAATTGTTACCAACAATATCTATTTCTTCTTCTCTTCCTTTTACTTTATTACTGATGGAGGATACCAATTGAAAAGAAGCAGGAGGATGGCTCTTTAGCCCATCCCCATGGTAAAATTTCCCCCATGGATCAAGACCACTTTCCCCTAACCCAATTGGATCCTGGGGGACCAGGATCACTCTCAGTGGGGAAAAGCACTTCTCTGAAGCTCTTGATAGCATTAAAATGTGTGTTTGTGTGTGTTGGCACGTATTATATTTTAAATCTATACATGCACTGATTATGTTTTATTTTAATCTTTGTTTGTGAACAATAATTACTAGACAGATTTTCATTTAATTTGTTACAACATTATTTCCAAATTTCTTACATTTATATTACTTAATTTTAAGCCTCCTTTCTCCCCATTTTTCTTACTACATTTCTATCTTGCTTTTACATCTTCATTCAAATCATTACATTTTCCCCAAAAATTTTAATTATATTAATTTTCATATATATATCTTCTCTAACCATTGATAAAATTGCCCCCATACCTTACAATACTCCGATTCTTCTTTTTCTTTAATTGCCAATGTTAATCTATTCATTTCTGCACATTCCAATATTTTCTTAATTACTTCTCCCTCTGTAGGGATTTTCTCTGCTTTCCAATTTTCTGCAAATACAATCCTCGCCGCAGTTATAACATGTATAATCAAGTATATATTTTCTTTACTATATTTCTCTGGTAAGATACCCAATAGGAAGAATTCAGGTTTTAAGTCAATATGTTGCTGTGTCATTTCCTCTAACCACGTTTGAATTTTAACCCAATAATTTGTTGCTTCTGTGCATGTCCACCACATATGATAATACGATCCTGGTATCTGATGGCATTTCCAACATTTCCAACATACCAAGATTTATTTATTTATTTATTTATTTATTTATTTATTTATTTATTTATTTATTTGGCTTATATGCCGCCCTATCTCACAATGGACTCAGGGCGGCTCACAACAATAAAACACAAGCCACAATAAAAATAAAGACTAAAATCTAAAAAATTTAAAATTAACCCATTAAAACCCTTAAAACCCCATCATCAGACCAGGTCAAGGGATTTGAAAAGCCAAGTTTTTAATTCCCGGCGGAAGGTGCGAAGGTCAGGCACTAGTCGGAGCTCCAAGGGGAGTTGATTCCAGAGAGTGAGCGCCCCAACCGAGAAGGCTCTACCCCTGGGGGCCGCCAGCCACCACTGTCTAGCCGACGGCACCCTGAATAGGCCCTCTCTATGGGCGCGAACCGGGCGATGGGATGTTGTTACTGTTGTTAAGATATGATAGAAATATAGTAAGACGATGGAGGAGGAAGTAGGGGACACAAAATATGTACTCAGATGACACACTGAATGATTAATGATGTATTGTTTGTTTGTTTAAAAACATAGAAAAAACTTTTTACAATAATTACTAGACAGAGAAATGTTGTTTAGGTTCATGCATCTATTCTATTTGAAATCTGGATCTGAATTTTACAGCCTGTAAGTGAAACAATTCTTGTGTGCTAGTTTTTCTTTCTTTCTACATTTGGGTTATATTGAACCATGATGTTAACCTTCAAGAGAAGAGAGAAGCAACTTAGAACTAAGGAGAAATTTCCTGACAGTTAGAACAATTAATCCGTGGAACAACTTGCCTGCAGAACTTGTGAATGCTCCAACACTGGAAATTTTTAAGAAGATGTTGGATAACCATTTGTCTGAAGTGGTGTAGGGTTTCCTGCCTGGGCAGGGGGTTGGACTAGAAGACCTCCAAGGTCCCTTCCAACTCAGTTATTCTCTGTTCTCTGTTCTAATAAATTTGGCAGACAGTAAGATCACAAATGATGCTGATTAACACTATCTTTGTGTGCTTATGTGTGCAAATCTCTTTCTGTTCCTGCATGGCCTTCTTTTATTGCTTATCTCTCACAAAACACCTGAACGGTTTTTCACAGGGTTCACTCAACAACTTGCTGCCTCTTGAAATTCCCATCAGATACTTTAAGATTGGTGTTTAGATCAAAGACATTTTTGTATCCAAAGCTTTTAAAATGATTGCAGAGGAAGCATTTTCACAGATAATTGAAAGATGATAATAGAGTTCCACTTAGCATTTTCTTTCATTTCAGAAAGAACAAGAAGAAGAAAGAAGAAGTGTTTTCATTAAAACACTTTAATGTACATTATCTCAGAAGAGTGTTTGTATGTGTGTGTATGTAGGGTTGATTCAGGGGTGGTATTCACTTACCTTCGTTACTGGTTCGCAAATGTGAGCACACGCGCGAGCCTTCCGCGCATGCACAGAGTGTCAAAAATGTGACATCATGACGTTTGGGTGGGTGGACGGAGCCTCCCCCAGCCGCTGCTATCGGTTCGCTCAAACAGGATATAACTGGCTGAATACCTCCACTGGGTTGATTGAATTAGGAGCTGCTTAAATTTGTATTTTTTACAGTCTTTTGTGATTATGCAAGGCTTCTCTAAACACTTTTGGAAAAAGAGGTCCAGTTGTCCCTAGAAGCAGACATCTGACAGTGTTGATTTATGAGGATAGGAGTGTGTTAAGGATCTGACTATCAGATTCTGTTTGTGTTTCTATTTTATGTGAGTCCCGGTGGTCTTCCGGGTGCGCTTCAAGGTTTTGGTTACCACCTTTAGAGCGCTCCATGGCTTAGGACCTGGTTATCTACGGGACCGCCTACTACCACCAATAGCCTCCCACCGGCCAGTACGCTCTCATAGAGAGGGGCTCTTCCGGGTTCCGTCGGCCAAACAATGTCGACTGGCGGCCCCTAGGGGGAGAGCCTTCTCTGTGAGGGCACCTACTATCTGGAACGAGCTCCCCCCGGAGATACGGAGGATCCTGGATCTGCGCACCTTCCGCCACGCTCTTAAGACCTTTTTATTCCACCAGGCGGGCCTGGCCTAATCTTTTCCCTCTTTTTAATTATGCAAATTTTAATCAGTTTTTAAATGATTGGGGTGTTTTAATTTGTCTGGGCCAAATTGTTTAATTTGATTTTACTTTGTTTTTAAATTTTGTATCTATGTATTTTTACTGTTTGGCTGTTCACCGCCCTGAGTCCTTCGGGAGTAGGGCGGTATATAAATCAAATAAAGTAAGTAAGTAAGTAAGAAAAACATCTAGCCTGACACTATTATGCGTCTTCCAAGGTTCTCTGAGCCTGATCCCAGTCATACCCTGGAAGAGCGGGTGGTACATTGGTACTTCAGCCAGCTGGACAACAATAACAGCAGTGACATCAACAAAAGGGAGATGAAACCCTTCAAGCGCTACGTGAAGAAGAAAGCCAAGCCCAAGAAATGTACACGACGCTTCACTGACTACTGTGATCTCAACAAAGACAAGTCTATCTCACTTCAGGAATTGAAAGGCTGTTTGGGGGTCAGGAAGGAAGAAGGTTGGTGTGTCTTTTATTGATTAAACTGAACTAAAAACTGGCTTTAGAATTCAGCCTGTTTTGCTTTATTGTCCAAGTCGTTTTGTTTTGGTGGGATTGTGGCTTTTTTTTTTTTGGGTGGGGGGGAGAGGAATGGAAGATGCATAAGGGACAGTTGTTTCCAGAAGAAAAAGGGCCAAGAAGCTGATAATCTTGGTCATTTGGAGACAAGTTCTTTGTTCTTTCTTTGGTTAAGTGCATATTTTTTTTGAAATAGTTCCATTTTTAAAAAAATGTTATTATACCTCATAATGTGTTTCAAAACAGGCAGTTTGGTGTAGTGATTAAAGCATCAGGCTAGACACCATGAGACTACATTTTAGACCCACCTGAGCAGAGGTGGTATTCAGCTGGTTCATACTGGTTCAGGTGAACTGGTAGCGGCAACTGCGGGTGGGCCTGCCCACCCGCCTGGACATAACGCCGTCCTATTTAGCCACGTTTTTGAGGCTGGCCGCATGCGAGCAAAGTGCATGCACAGCGAACCGGTGTTAAGAATATTGGAAACCCACCGCTGCACCTGGGTAGCCAGGTGGGTAACCTTGGGCCAATCACTCTGAGTTTTAGGAAGAAAGCAAAGCCAAACCACCTCTAAAAAAGATTGCTGGGAAGACTTCATGTACCTGCCTAGGCAATCACCGGGAGTCAGGAGTTTTCAACTCTTTAACTGATTTTGAAATGCTACTGTTTACATTTATTTTTTATTTTTATTTGGATTGAAACCATGATGTGTTAGGGTGAAGATCAAGCAAGCCCCCATCCTGAGGCACCCTGCTAAGTACAGATTCCCTGGGTCTAATAATTCACTTGTACAATCATAGATTTCCTAGATTGTGTATGTTGTATCCCTCTGCCTTCTAGGATGTAATTAAAGACCAGTCTTCATACAGTACTGGGTCCTGTGAAATTACTACTTGCATCTTAACTCATCTATAGAAAGAGACAATTTTCTTGCTCTCCCTGCCTCAATCTACCCCTACCCTAGAGACATGCCACCTTGGGGAAAAAATGAAACAAAATCATTTATTAATACGAAAGGATATGTCCTATATTCAGAATTGCCCATCTCTTTCCATTTTATTTTTTCTGCAGATATTAATGAGTTCATTGCATAGGAGAAGCCACTTAGCTCCTATTTTGAAGAAATGTAGTAATGTTGACCAATATCTAGAGTAAATAGACAAAAGAATATTCTTTATATTTGCAGGCAGCATTGGCAGCTTCCCACATGGAAAAAGGCAAGGTGTTAATCCTTTCAGTAAGTAGTTTTTATTGTTTTGATCCCTTTCCTATCCCTAGATTTTTCTTCACCTGCCACTTGGAGCATTTTAAGCTGATGCTTCTCAGAGCAACAAAGTTAACACGCCAGCTTGTCAAGAAAACCAGAGAAAGAGGCTCAATTTTCATCTTTCTTCAAATGATTCTGATTTGAAAGGGCCTCATTGAATGATTTTTGTTAACTATTTATCTTATAACAATTTGTATAACTTGGTATATATTTGAATGATATAAATGGTCTCAATAATAGCCAAATAATGTTTTCCTTACTTTTTTGTTCAATAGAGAAGGATAAAGGAAACAATTATTAAGAATACATTAGAAAAAGTTTGCAATTACCTACACAAAATTATCCTCGACTAAAGGCAAATATACATGTCCCAGGATAATGATGTAGGATCCAATCTGGGTCAGTTACTGGGACCAGAGGTTTTGTCTTCTGAGCTTTTGGACCAGTGGTGGGATTCAAAATTTTTTACTACCAGTTCTGTGGGCGTGGCTTGGTGGGCGTGGCATGGTTTGGTGGGCGTGGCGGGAAAAATAGAATAGAATAGAATAGAATTCTTTATTGGCCAAGTATGATTGGACACACAAGGAATTTGTCTTTGGTGCATATACTCTCAATGTACATAAAAAGACAAGATACACTCCTCAAGAATCACAAGGCACAACATCCAGTGACAGTTATATGGTAGAATAAGCAAATCATACTAGGAAACAATCAATAATATAAATTGCAAGGATACAAGCAACAAAATTATAGTAATGTAGTCACAAGTGGGAGGAGATGGGCGACAGGAATGATGAGAAGACCAATAGCAATAGTAATGCAGCCAAATGTGAATAGTTTGACAGTGTTGGATACTGTAAAATCTCCATTCCCACCCCCCCTTCAGGAGAAAGAGACTGTAAAATCTCCATTCCCACCCCACTCCAGGGGAAGGTTACTGCAAAATCCCCATTTCCTCCTGATCAGCTGGGACTCGGGAGGCAGAGAATAGATGGGGGCAGGGCCAGTCAGAAGTGGTATTTACTGGTTCTCCAAACTACTCAAAATTTCTGCTACCGGTTCTCCAGAACTGGTCAGAACCTGCTGATTACCACCTCTGTTTTGGACCCAAGGGGCTCCAGCATGAGTCCAAAAACTCAGAAGCCTTAACCTCTAGTCCCAGTGACCAACCCAGATTGGATCCTGCAAAGTTATGTTTATTCACTTTTTAATCAATGAGCAAAGTTGTAAAATACAGCATTGAAAACTGTTTCCTTTTGTTTTTATAAAACCACAGCTAGTGATTAGTTTGATTCTCTGCATGATTATATGCTTACCTTAATTTTAATTTTATGCTGCTTTTCACGGCTTCATTGTATCCTGCTTTTCTCTCAACCCAAGATGGTATGGGCAGTGGGGAAGGAATTAAGATTTTTTTTTTAAAAAAAGTGTAAATTATTATAATTATTTTAAATTAGTATAATCATAAACACATATTTTTTATGAGATATGTGACTGAAAAAGAGCATGTGTCTGCAAAAGTTAAGCATATAAAAAGAGAGCTGTATTTCAAACAAGAACTTCCCTTGGTATAAGTTATAAATGAAAGAATAGCATTAAGGAACTATATAAAAACAGATTGCTTGGGAAATGACTATTGAAAGCTTTGCACAAGAGAAAGTGTAGGAGAATGGAAATAGGTACAGAACTCTTTAAATAGACATTATTTAAAAAGCATTGAAAAACCTGCCAGACCAAAATTCTGCCTGACCCACTCAGGTAGATGACTAGATTTATTCTGATGTAGATTTGACTGACCTGACGTTTATCCATGGCATTTTAATATTTGTGCAAAGTGAAAAAAAGCTATCTCTTTTGTTGAACCTGAAAATCCCTCCTTGAAAATCAGAAACCCTTTTCAAATGAGTGCAGCTGGTAAAAGGAACTGCTTTCCAGAAGAAATTAAAACAATCTAATTTTAGCTATGCCGAGTGCTTCTCTTGTAGTGAATCTTCTACCGGTCTTTATATTTAAAATTAAAGGTTTTAAATATATTTAAAATTGGAGGCCATCTCTAAGGAAGGTTACCTAGCTCTTAGAATCTCCTTTAGAAATGAAGCATCATTCCAAAGCTTGTATATTTAGTGGCATTCTCTTCTTAATTAAATGCAAATCATAATCTCTATGTTCTAAAGAAAATCTTTAGAAGTTTGCTCTGTATATCTATATGATCTATATGCAGTACTTATTATTCAAGGTCTCTGGTCAAATACCCCAATTGTTTTGGCAGTCTTAATCAGGGGTGAAATCCATTTTTTTTTACTACCGGTTCTGTGGGTGTGGCTTGGTGGGTGTGGTGTGGCTTGGTGGGTGTGGCAGGGGAAGGATACTGCAAAATCTCCATTCCCACCCTGCTCCAGGGGAAGGATACTGCACAATCCCCATTCCCTCCCCACTCCTGGGGCCAGCCAGAGGTGGTATTTGCTGGTTCTCCAAACTACTCAAAATTTCCGCTACTGGTTCTCTGAACTGCTCAAAATTTCCGCTACCATTTCTCCAGAACCTGTCAGAACCTGCTGGATTTCACCCCTGGTCTTACTGCTTCTAATGAAAGTATCACCCACATTAGTTATTCAGTGGGAGAAGTCTCATTAACTTTAGTAACTTTTTTTTTCATGCCTTCTAGTCAATCTTAACTCCTGGTGACTGCCTGAACCAATCCCTGAAGTTTTCTTGACAACATTTTCTGGAAATGGTTTTCCATTATCTGCTTCCTAGGGCTGAGAGACAGTGATTGACCTAGTTGGCTTTGTGCCTAGGCAGGACTAGAACTCCAGTCTCCTGGTTTCTAGCCTGCTGCCTTAATCAAACTGGCTCCCTTAATCAATTGATTACTTTTAATAGGATTTAATTGGTTTTTCACCTTTTGTTTTCTTCTCTGTCTACAACTTCAGTAGGACGTCTTGTCTAAGAGGATATGCCATGGATGGATGGAAGGATGGAATGGCCATCTGAAAACATGTAGGACTGGCAACACCCAGTATAGCAGAAGTGGCAGTCACAACATTTGCACTTTGTTAAAAAAACAAAAGAAGAGAAAAATTGTCTACATATAATACAGGTTTTTTTTAGTAATCTGAAGACATTTGGAAAGAAAACTGAACATCCACTTGGGATTTAAATCTTAAGGACTTGAAAAAATGTTTAATATACTGTACATAAAATGTAAATTACACAGTGATTTTCTGTTGGTTATAGGATGACTATTTGATTCCTGCCCAGTTTTTTGTTTCCTTTGTTTCCTTTTTAAGAGGCACAGCAGTTTCAGGAATGTCTTTCTGGACAGGAGTGTCTTCTTAACGCCACTCAATCTTTGTTAAGTGATATCAGCTCAGCCTTCATTACATTCATTACAGAGATTATTGGAGGGTTCTTTATAAAATGTTGTAAATCACTGATGAGGAAATGATCTAAATATGTAATCTATGGCAGTGGTCCCTAGTTCTAGTCCATGGACTGCTAGCAGGCTGCAGCCTGTCGGGAACTGGGCCGCACATGTGGCTGGTGAGTACGCCAAGCTCCATTTGCACAAGTGGCAGGCATGTGCGTGAAATCACCTCTTCCTCCTCCTGCCGCTACCACTGCTGCCAGTCTGCAGAGCCAGAAAGGTTGAGGATCGCTGATCTGGGGGAATATTCAAGAAACGTAAAAGTGAGCAGTATGAAATTATAAATGGGGGTGGAGACTTCATGGCACTCCAGATATTGTGTGACTTTAATATACACATGTTTAGCCAGCATATCCAGTGTTCACTTAGCAAAAATGAGACAAAATCTCTGCCCAGTTCAGGAATCGAAAATAAAACAGCCTTACAAAATAGCTGTCATAACCTGGCTAGAGCACCTCCTATGCACAAAGCCCAGCCTGGATACTTGGTTCCTTGAGTGAACCGTTCCTATTGATAGGGGTTTTTTTCCCTCTCATTCAGAAGGAATCTCCCTTCAGGTCATTATTCTGGAACAAGAGACGACTTTGGATATTATTTTGTGTGAAGTGTTCCACATTGTAGTGTCCACCAGTTGATCATTGTGAGGACAGACTACTGGGGTCAGAGGTCCAGTACAGCCAGAATCTCACTGTTTATATTCTTAATTTTTTGGTCCTGGCTGTTTTAGTGTTTAGGAAAAGCAAGAGTGAGTTGCAACAATGACTTTTTTGGATTGTGGTTTACTGTAAAATGGATTTTTGTCTCGTGGATCGCCATCACCCCCTGCTGGCTTTTCTGATGTATCACATACAATGAAAGTGTCTTCAAACTCTTCTTTTGCATACTGTGTTCTTTTTCCTTTCTTTTGTTCACAACACTTATTCTGTATGCATTCAAATTATTTTGTTTGCATATACAGTGTAAAAAGTCTATTTTGTCCATATGAATGAAGAACAATTTGTAAAGAATGTTGTTAAAAGAGTTTTTCTTCACTCGGATCTTCCTCTCAGCCCCCTTATACTTATTGTTAACAATGCCAGAGAATCAGAGACCATGCCAAATTCTTCTCTCACTTTGCCTTACTATTTTGTGAAAATGAATGTTGTGTAGTTCTGTCAAAGGGCATCTGTGGCACCTTTAGTTTGGTAGTTTTTCTTCCAAGGAACTTCTTTCAGAACCTGTTGGGTTAGAGCAGCATATAAATCCCAGTAAATTAATAAAGATACATAAACTTTTTCACAGTGCTGGATTTCATAATTTCCTCATTAAGATGTATACCCTTTGCATGAGGGTTTTTTGGTTGGATTTAGACCAAAGTCTGCCTCATCCTCCTTCCTCTGATCCATTGAGACCCATGCTCAAAAGAAGCATGGCCATAAGTGATAATATCCTTTTTTGGTTCTCCCATGTCCAAGTAATTGTTTTCTGCCATAAAATTGCATTCCTTTTCTATTAATGCTAACATTCTTTCTATTTAAAAGAAAGCATCCGAAAAACATTTCAGTACTCCACATGTTTTGGATGTCCATCTGTAGGGTTATGTATATGGAGGGTCCTTCTGCTAACAGAGTTCATTGTGATGCTTTTTTTTTCCACTAGTGAATTTTCGGGGGAGGGAGGATTGTGATCTTAGTAGTAGAAAACAGCAGCGTACAAATGGAAATCTGTCTTGAGTAGATCTTTTATAAATGTCTGTAAATAAGCAAGGACAATCTTAAGGAAAATACAGGCAGGGAAACATATTTCATGTTACTAGTGGGTGAGGCAAATAATCCTGGACTTTGGCTATTACTTTCTTCAGTCATAATTCCCTTGAATGTTCTTATTTTGTTCATGATGACAGCTAGGGAAGGCTTGAACTGTATTATTTTTAATTAGGGATTTTATTAAAGCTTTGCAAAAAAAAGGTTCTCGACCTGCTTAGAGAAAGTCCTTAAATCAAACATCTTTTCCCAAAACTACACCAGGGAAAGGCAGATGCACCTTTCTGAAAAAGGATGCTATTAGAAGCTGCCATAGAAGCTTTGTGAGTGTCTTTTTCTCTTTCCAACTGAGCTACTTTTTATTATCCCCTGCTTCCAGTTTAATGATTAATTCATATCTGATATTTTTTTCTTGTCTGGCTAAAAAAAAAAGTACAGTGTTCAGAGACCTGTTTGAAAATTATGTGAGTCCTGAGCTTGCATAATGTGTGGGAGCCAATATTTGCTAATCCCCTCTTGAAGTCTGATTCAGAGCAAGTAGATACAAATTATTGTTTGGAACAGCAAGCCAGATACTGTATGCTGGTTTACTGAATGGCTTAGTCAATTTCATTCATACCGGCAGAATTCTCTTTGCTTAATCAGAAAAACAGAGAATATTTCAGTGGTCCAAAACAAGCAAGCAGACAAAGAAAAATGTAACTGATAGAGCTATCGTTAAAAGGAATTCAGGAAACTTTGGAAGATAAAATCAGTGAGCTCCCCTGCATAAGGGAATAACAGCTAAATCCACAAAGGTTAAGTCTAAGCAATAACAGTTGGTACATTTTTTCGCACCTATGCTAGGAAGCATTATTTACAAACTACAACCATAGTCACTGTAAAGCCAGATTTCCCACTATCTGATAGAAGAAAGGCAGATGTCTGATTTCTCTTCTGTACTTTATTGTCATGTCGTGAAATGCTACGTTGTAATTGACAGGAATGTCCCGTCCCCTCTGGTCCTGCTCAAGTCCTCCACAGCAGGGGTAAAATCCAGCAGGTTCTGACAGGTTCTGGAGAACTGGTAGTGGAAATTTTGAGCAGTTCGGAGAACCAGTAGTGGAAATTTTGAGTAGTTTAGAGAACTGGCAAATACCACCTCTGGCTGGTCCCAGGGTGGGGTGGGAATGGAGATTTTGTAGTATCCTTACCCCAAGAGTGGGGTGGGAATGGGGATTTTGCACTATCCTTCCCCTGGAGTAGGGTGGGAATGGAGATTTTGCAGTATCCTTCCCCTGCCACGCCCACCAAGCCATGCCCACAGAACTGGTAGTAAAAAAATTGGGATTTCACCACTTCTCCATAGCCATTTTAACTTAGGCTATTAAACTTAATTCCCCTCTCAGGATCTTCCTAGGGTTAAATGCACCATCATTCGTTTCCCTGAAGGGTCCATGTAACCCACCAGTTCTTTCACTAAATCAGAAGATTTCACACGATCCATCAGATCTTTTATTACAGCTCTTTATTCATGCTGATGGTTATGCATTATGAAAACAATCCTTTGGTTTTGTTTAATACTTACATCTACTTTGGGAAAAGCACTTCTGCTTAGATTTATTTTTTAAAAAAATCCATCTTCCAATAGACTGCTGAAACGTTTGGCCTAGCTAGGTAGGTTATTTCTCTCCCCAGTCCTAGCAAAATGCAAGTGATATTTTTTCCCAGGCTTACATAGCTGTTTGGGAGTTGGAATGAAATTGATAACAGCTTGCTAGTTTTCTTTCTCATGTCAAGTCACAGCAAGAAGGATGAAGCAGTCCACTGGGGAACTAATTTAAAAAGAAAAGCAGCAAACCTGAGAGAAATAAAAATAATAGGGGGGAAAATTTCTGTCAAGTTTTGAACTGGGGATCTTTTGCACCTGAAGCAAACACGATAACTTCTCTTCTACCAGGGCAGCACTTGGAGCAACCAGAGAAATTGCAAGAAAAGAACTTTTGTTCTGAAGCTGGTTGCTGTATATGTGTTTCTTGACACTTTTTCTTTATAAATAGCATTACATTTTCCAGGAAAGGAAGGAAAGAAAGAAGGAAAGAAAGAAAAAGAAAGAAAGAAAGGAAAGAAAGAAAGAAAGAAAAAAGGGAGGGAGGGAGGGAGGGGGAAGGAAAGGAAAGGAAAGAAGGAAAGGAAAGGAAAGGAAAGGAAAGGAAAGGAAAGGAAAGAAGTGTCCTGTAAGTCCCAACATGCAAAAGAAAGTGATAGCTTTCCAGGTGTAAAAAGAGTATAGAAGCAAGAGAATCCACCCATTGAGGGTGACATTAATAATGGACAGAATATCATCCTTATAATAAATATGGAGAAAGTGAAATATGGAAAATTTCATTTTCAGCTATTTTGTCCTTGGGAGACAAGCAGCTCTCATTCAGGACAGCCCTAAGCCATAATTTACCATACTGCATTGTGGCAAAGTATAATGTGTGAATCTACCCAGAATACTATATTATCATCTACACAGCATCTCTCCATATACTAAAGTTCCACTCAGTTCCACAGGAAGCATTCCTCTGCCAGGCATAATAGCACCTTGGTAATACACTACTTGATAGTCCTCGATTTATAACCATTCATTTAACAACAGATTGGAGTTATGATGTTGCTGAAAAAAGTGACTTCCAACCTGTCCTTCAAATTATGACCCTTGCACCTGTGGTCAGGTGATTGCAATTTGGGCACAATTGCAGTAAAAATGGCCATAAAATTGGATTCAGTCATGTGATGTTTGCTTAACAGACAACATTGCTTAGCCACTGACTAAGTCCCAATTGTGACTGTAAATTGCGAATTACCTGTATGACTTTGAAAATTAAACATTCAAATAAGGCAATGCAATCCAACAAGACAAATAATACAGTTATTTAAGACAGTACAGCTGTCTTTTCAATAAATATATACAAGTGAAAAAAAAGACACATTTGTGGAAGAAAAAAATGGAACTTTAGGGGGCACTCTTTACCGTTTAGTTAAGAAGGATGGCAAACTTTCAAGTCACAGTGAAATGCTTGAGAAAGAATGATCTCAAAAATGCAATTTTCTATAGGGGAGAAAAGCTTCAGGCATATTGTTGAGATTCATTGGTGTTAAACATAACACCAATGTTAATCCTGCTAAACATAATTGAAACAAAGTCTCACTTGAAAATAAGATTTTAATTTGTTATAGTTTAAAATTTCCGTATCGCCAGATTAAGGCTTTGAGGACAAAACAGAACTGAACAGTGTACCAGTATCTCAGTAAGTGAAGCATCACACAATATTGTGGTTTCCAAATTGGGCCTGCAAAAATCCTGATTATTATGAGGTAGCAAGAAAGAATTATATATATCATAGTGGCCAGTCAGGAATTTAATGCATTCTGGTAGCTCAAATTTGGCTGCTCTAATTAATACAGTACTGTCTTTCATGGAACAGGGAAAACTGTAGTTATTATAAGGCAATCAATTTTATGTTGAATTCTCATACGTTGTGATATATTGACTTTACCTGTCAGTGCTTAAGATGATCAAATGTGATAAGTTCTGAATGTTACCATACTGTTCCATGGTAAATTGAAAATTAATTCCAGAACATGATAAATTTCAGTTCATGACACTTGATTAGAAAACTCACAATGCAAAAACACCATTAAAGCGGAGAGTTTTCAAAGATACTAATAAAAAAGCAGGGTTTTTTTTTTTGTTTTGGTTTTTTAAAACATCTTTAACAATTCAAGGGGTGGGGTAGAGAGGTAAGAATCTGTATTTAATTTTTTCATTTTACAAAGTTGTCTATTTGTATAAATTGGGCATGACATTTTAAATATATATGTGAGACATTCTGGCAGCGTACTTCAGTCTTATTTTTAAAGAATACAACCAAACAAAACGTGTTGAAAAAAAATTCAGTTAACATGGATGACACTACTATGTCATAGCACTATGACCAGTAGTGGGTTTCAAATTTTTTTACTACCGGTTCTGTGGGTGTATCTTAGTGGGCATGGCATGGCTTGGTGGGTGAGGCAGGGGAAGGATACTGTAAAATCTCCATTCCCTCCCCACTCCAGGGGAAGGTTACTGAAAAATCCCCATTTCCTCCTGATCAGCTGGGACTCGGGAGGCAAAGAATAGATGGCGGTTGGACCAGTCAGAGGTGGTATTTGCTGGTTCTCCGAACTACTCAAAATTTCCACTACCTGTTCTCCAGAACTGGTCAGAACCTGCTGAAACCCACCTCTGACTATGACACTACTCAGGCCTATGATGTGTATGGAAAACATAATATATAACCTACGACCAAGTTTCTGAATGAATTCTGACTTCTACAAATGCAAAATGGCAGCTCCTTTGAGGGTTGGATATGATAATAAACCTAGTATTTTTGTTAATGGAATAAAACATTGTATAATTGTGTGCATGGAAAATTGTGGTACATGCAGATGGCCTTTTCCGCATGGCCCATTATGGCAGCAAAGCAATTGTCATCTACTAGTGCCAAGGTAAAAATTCATTGT